TTCTTCCTCTACCGTCTTCAGCACCTCCACATGCCCATACTCCCCCGCCCAGTGTACCATCGTCTTCCCTTCTTCGTCCTTCGCTCCTACCTCTGCTCCTGCCTCTATCAGCTCCCTCATGCTCCCCGCCCTCCCCAGCATCCCCGCTACATGCAGCCCTGTCCTCCCGTCCTCCGTCCGCTCGTCCATGTCGTACCCGCCCGCCTTCAGCAGCCCGATCAGCTCCCCCTGTCCTCGTACCACCGCCGTCACTGTCGACGGCTCCCCGTGCTGGCCCGACCTTGACATCGACAAGCCGTACATCCCGCACAGCCTCTTGCTCTGCTCTCGTCTGCCGTCATCGCCTGCTGCAGTCCGCGAGCTGATCTCGTACATCAGACCCGCCATCGTCTTCCAGTACACTGACTGCATCGGCTCTCTCGCAAGGGCTTTACATTTCCTGTCTCCTTGAGTGTCTTCGATCCAGTGCCTGAGCTTGTTGATCGCCATGTCCTTGACTCGGTTCGACAGCTCGATCGCCTCCTTGTATCTTGACTCGTCGTTGTACCAGCCCGACTCCCTCGCCCTGCTCGCCTCCACCAGCCCCCAGCACTCCTCCACGATCGATTGTACAAGACCCTGATGGAGCTTGAACCAAGAGTCAGCCGTTGCTGTCCTGAGCCGCTCCTGGATCCTCCCCTCCCACCCCCTCACGTCTCGCTCTACCTCCCTCGCCAGGTTCTCCATCAGCCCTACGTACAGCTGCTTCCTCTTCCCCACAAAGTCCTCGATCGTCAAGCTCATCGTGTTCGCGTTGATCTTCAGCTCCAGCACCTTCACCCGCCTCCCCTCTACCTCCCTGTACCGCGGCGTCTTCACCACCTCCAGGTACGACAGCGGTGGATACAGCATCTCCCCCTCCCCCGGATACTGAGACACAAACGTCAAGCTCGCCCCCCGGTCGATCGCCCCGCAGCTGATCTCGAACACGATCGACTCTCCCTCCTCCCCGGCGTACTGCATCGCCGTCCTGACGTCTGTCGTCGTGCTCAGCAGCCCGTACTCGACTCCTCCGGACACCCCGAGCTTGTCCTCGTTGAGGAAGCTCTCCGGCAGCTTCAGGCCTTTCAGTCCAATCCACACTTGCCGATCATCGGGCAGAGGCGTGTGACGAGACAGCTTGACGATGCCGCTGACGATGCAGTGGATGGTCGTCGTGTACTTGTTGGGGAGCTTGTTGGAGTCTCGGAGGAGCTCGTTGGGAGCTCGAAGAACAGAGTTGTACTTGAAGTACATCGGCCCTGTCATAGCAAGCCTCTTGTCAGCCTTCTCACGCTCTCTTGCTCCTCTCTCCTCCCCCATGCTCCTTCTCCCTCTCTCGCTCTATCTCTCTCTTACCTGTGTAGAGCTGCAGCGCGATCAGCTCCGCCTCCTGTAGCCCCGCCTTCATCGCCGTGTCCAGCCCCTTCAGCTCCTCCATCCCTCGGATCACCCGCGTCCCGTCCGACAGCCTCCGCCTCCTCTCCGGGTCTGTGACGTTGAGCCACTCCTCCTTGGCTGTCGTCCTGATGTTGTAGTTGCTCGTCGTGAACGCTTCCTCCGCGTCCTTGCCCTTGCAGTGCTCCTCCTCTATCGCCTTCATCAGCTCTGTCTGAGGTAGCCCGATCCGCTCCATCAGCCCCCCGTAGTACTCCTCGATCTTCCCGTACACGGCCTCGCGTACCTCCCCGCTGCCTGTACCGTCCGACTCATTCACCGCAAACTTGCTGTTGTGCGACGTCGGACCGTCTCCTCCCGCCCGCCCTCCTGCCTCCGCCGGCCTCCTCAGCGCCTCCTCGAGCCTCCTCGCTATCGCCGTCTGCCATAGAGCCGATAGAGCGCTCTCCGTCATCCCCTGTAGCCCCGCAAGAGGACTCGCCGCGCTCCCGCCGGGGATGCACTCCGCCATGACTCGGAGGATGTTGAGGTCGCCGAGGCTGCTGGTCTTGCGCTCGAGCTCCCACTCTCTTGCGACTCTCACCTCGTAGTCGTCGTACGAGAGCTTGTCAGGGCCTGCGTGCGGCATGAGGGCCGACGCGTCGACGCCGAGAGCCATGCCGAGGTTGTTGAGAATCGTTTTGTATTCCTTTGAGTCTAGAGGGGTCTGAAAGAGCTTCTTGAGGTCAGAGCTGATGTCGTCGGGGATAGTCCAGCTGGTCGTTTGCTGGGCACTAGCTGGTGGATCAGCCGTGGGATTTCTGATTTGAGCAAGAGCGGAGGTGTTGGCGAGCAGCACTTCATTCTTGACTCTCAAGGTCAAGAGCTCACGCTCAAGCTCTAGGATCTCTCTCTGTACATCCTTCCCCATGCCGTACCAGACTAGCAGGAGGGGACAAGGCGCAACAGATCTCAACGCCTGTCACAAGCGTCATGTCATCGAGAGTTGCTCTGGGCTCTCCTCTCCTCATCTCTCGTTCTCTCTTAACTCTCCTGTTCCCGCTCCTCCTGTCGTTCTCCTCCTCTCCTCTCCCCTCCCCTCTTCTTTGCTTTGCTCTTTCGATTCTTCTCTTCTCTGCTGTTTTCTTCGCTTCCCTTCGCTTCCCCTCATTCCTCTCCATTCATCTCCTCTCCTCTTCTCTCCTCTCCATTTTTCTCTTCTCTTCACTCCTTTGTTCTCTTCTCTCCACTTCGTTTGTTTCCCTTAACTTCTCTTCTGTTCTCTTCCCTTCCTTTCCCTTCCCTCTTCTGCTTTGCTCTCCTCTCTTCTCCTATTCTCACCTATTCTTCTTTTGATTTCACCAAACTTCTCTTCTCTTCGCTTCTCTTCTCTCCTTTTCTCTCTATTTCATTAAACTTCTCTCCTCTCCTCTCCTCTCCTCTCTACTCCTCTCCTCTCCTCCCCTCTCCTCTTTTATCATCTCCTCTCCTTTTCGCTCCTCCCCTCTCCTCTTTTATCATCTCCTCTCCTTTTCGCTCCTCCCCTCCTCTCCTCTTTATTTCACTAAACTTCTCTCCTCTGTTCTCCTCTCCTATTCTCTCCTCTTCTATCCTATCCTCTTCTATCTTCTCCTCCTCTCCTCTCCTCT